GAATTTTTATCCAGCCATATTTTCATGTAATTCCATGAACTTACTTAAGAGGATTATTCTGAATTCTTTGCTAGTCATTTCATAAATCACTATTTCTTGGGAGTTCAATGTAGGAGTTTTGTTAAGTTTCTTTTGGTGGTATCATGTGTCCCTGATTTTTTTTTTTTTTTTTTGTATTCTTTATGTCCTTGCCTTGGAGTCCATGCATTTGAAGATGCAGCCACCCCTTCTAGCTTTAGTGTGTTTGTTCTTGGGATGATATAGACCTTCACACCCAAATCTATCCTGGGATTCTGGGTAGGATATCTGGTAGTGACTACTACTACCTAGTAGTAGGTAGGCCTTGCTGTTGTTTTTCCTAGTTATGCTAGTTTTCTGCCTGGGCTTTGAGGTTAGATAGGGCTGTTGGCTGTATCTTGCAGTCCAGTGAGACCACTAGTTAGGCTCTGTGGTCAGTTTCAGTGTCTGTCAGGGCTCTTCAGTCACTTCTGATCAGGTAGGGTTGTAGTCTGCATTCCTTGGAAACGTAGTAGTATTGCTTGGAATCTGTAGTTGGACAGGACTGCAGGCTGTACTCTTGAGGCTGGGAAAGTCCCCTTGAGTTTCTGTTCAGCTTCTTGGCATGGGCAGGACCAGAGGCCATGCTTCACAGTTATGTGCAGTCATGGGCCTGCCTCCTTTGGCTGGGCTTTAGAACTGCGCAGGGTTATTGCTTGATCATAAGGGTCAGGTGGGGTTAGATGGGTTAGGTGGGGCTGTGCAGATGTGTGGGAACATGGGTTTTCTTTATGGCATGGGGAAGCCTTATACAGAGGTCCCAGATTGAACATAATCACACCTCAGATACCCAAAATTGGTAAATCCAGATATAACCTTAAAAATTAAATGTCTGAGGAACAAAATGGAGTGGTATATCAGGTAGTGTGAAGAGCAAAAGATTGTTAGAACCAAGAGCAGCCAGACTTGTTTGGTAAATGCCAGTGATACTGTATTGCGCATTGCTGATGATAGGTTAGAAGCTTAGTATTTGGGGAGTATGATCTTTTATATTTTTATATGATCATCTATAATGTAAATACTCCATACTTCACTGTAAGAATCAGAAACTGAAATGTAGTATTTCTTAGGTAACAAAACTGAGTGGTAGTGTGCATTTTGTTCTCATACAGTAAAACTGGTTGCTTGTCATTGAATATCTTTGTTCTTAGAAGCTTAATCATGTTTGAATAAATGCATTTGAATTTTTTAAATGTAACATGAAAAACTGTGGTGAAAACACTTTTCATGGTTCATTTCCTCTTATATTCATGTTTTCACTAATCTTAATGCTTACCAAAGGGTAACCTGAAAGATGGCATTGTGTACAAGTAAAAAAGAATAAGTAGCTCAACAGACCAGTGAAGCAGAATAATAAGGAATATAAAGTAGCCTGTGATAGAATGGTTATCACATTAACTTACAATTGCCTCAGAAAAAAATATTTTCCTAAATCATACCCAAATGGGCAGGGGTAGAAGGACAAATGAAATGCTGCAATACTGTGAAGAAATGGTTCTATGTTCATGTTATTGATAAGGAGAGCTTTTAAAATACTGGTTGTAAGAACATCTCTTTCCTATCACATAATGAAAAGATATCTGATGTGATCATGGACAGAGTGATAGGAAAAGTTATATTCCAGCACTACTTTATTTATTTTATATACGTTGCGAAGAATTTGACAATAAAGGTTGAAAAATGTACATTCAGCATATCTTGAACTAATTCAAGTATGCTGTCTTTTTTTTTCTTCATTATCTATTGAATCCCTATGTGTACCAGGGATTGTGCTAAATGGTCGGGATATATAGGGAACGTGGGGCTATGTTACAGTGGGGAAGGTGGACAAATAAACAGCCCTAAAGAAGTAGTCAACTGGGGCTGGGGAATGTGGCTCAAGCGGTAGCGCGCTCGCCTGCCATGCGTGCGGCCCGGGTTCGATCCTCAGCACCACATACAAACAAAGATGTTGTGTCTGCCGAGAACTGAAAAATAAATATTAAAAAAAAAAAAAGAAGTAGTCAACTATGTAATGAACTTGAAGGTGATGTATTCTATGGGGCAAAAGAACAACAAAGCTGGAAATGGGGACTGGGTGAACTAGGGTACAAGGGGGGTGGCACACAACAAAGTTAAAAATGGGGTGTCTGGGACGCCTCAGTATAATGGTAACATTTAAGCAAAACCTTAAAACCTTGAGAAAGAAGCCATGTGAATACCTGGTGGAAAGCTTCTAGGCCCTCCAATGAGAACAAGGAGGCAGGTGGTAGTGGGACAGTGTAGAAGGGAGGAGCTAGGAGTGGGAATTGGCAGTGGATCATGGGAGGCCTGAGGCATGAATGGAGTCTTTGACTTTTAGTTTTTTTTTTTTTTTTTTAATAATAGCTTTGTTGAAGTATAGTTCACATGTTAACAATTTGCTCATAAGTACACAATTCAGTGGTTTTTAATGTAGTCACAAAGCTGGGCAACCATCTTCAAAATCAATTTTAGAACATTTTAATCTCCCTAAAAAGGAAAGTACATGCTCCTATCCTCAAACACACCCTATCTCATTCGAAGAAATCAGTAATCTGTTTTCTGTTTCTATGGAATTGCCCACCCTGGAAATTTAATATAAATGTAATTATATAATGTGTGGTCTCTTATGATACTTACCAAAAAATGTTTTCAGGGTTCACATGTGTTGTAACATGTCTTAGTGCTCCTTTACTATTTATAACTGAATAATATTCCATTGAATATACTGTATTTTGTTTGTCCACTCATCAACTGATGGACTTGGTTTATTTCCTTCTTGGGTCTACTAAGAATAATATTAGTATAAACATTTGTATGCTAATTTTTTGTGTGTAGATATATGTCTTCATTTCTTCACCATGATTGGAATTCTTAGGTCACATGGTACCTTCATGTTTAACTCTGTGACAAATTGCCAGACTGTTTTCCTATTTGCCTATATCATTTTACATTCCCACTAGTAGTGTTGCAGGTTCTGATTTCTCCACTTCTTTACTAATAATGCTTGTCATTATTTGTCTTTTTTTATTATAGCTATTCTAGTGGGTGTGAAGTGGTTTCTCATTCTTTTTTTTTACCTTTTTTAATTGATTTTTTAAAAAAATAAAAAATAAATGACAGCGGAATGTATTACAATTCTTATTACATGTATACATCACAAGTTTTCATATCTCTGGTTATATATAAAGTATGTTGATACCAATTCGTGTCTTCAAACATGTACTTTGGGTAATGACGTCTATCACATTCCACCATCAATGCTAATCCTCTGCCCCTTCCCTTTTCCTCCCACCCCTCTGCCGTATCTAGAATTCATCTATCCCTACCATGCTCCCCCTCCCTACCCTACTATGAGTCAGCCTCCTTATATCAGAGAAAACATTTGGCATTTTTGGAGGGGGGGTGGATTGGCTAACTTCAATTAGCATTATCTTCTCCAACGCCATCTATTTACCTGCAAATGCCATGATTTTATTCTCTTTTATTGCTGAATAAAATTCCATTGTGTACATATGCCACATTTTTTAAAATCTATTTATCCACTGAAGGGCATCTAGGTTGGCACCACAGTTTAGCTCTTGTGAATTGTGTTGCTATAAACATTGATGTGGCTGTGTCCCTGTAGTATGCTGTTTTTAAGTCTTTTGGGTATAAACCAAGGAGAGGGATAGCTGGGTCAAATAGTGGTTCCATTCCCAGATTTCCAAGGAATCTCCATACTGCTTTCCATAATGGCTGCACCAATTTGCAGTCCCACCAGCAATATATGAGTGTGCCTTTTCCCCTACATCCTTGCCAACACTTATTGTTGTTTGTCTTCCTAATAGCTGCCATTCTGACTGGAGTGAGATGATATCTTAGAGTAGTTTTGATTTGCATTTCTCTAATTGCTAGAGATGTTGAACATTTTTTTCATATATTTGTTGATTGATTGTATATCCTCTTCTGAGTAGTATCTGTTCAGGCCCTTGGCCCATTTGTTGATAGGGTTATTTATTTATTTATTTTTGGTGCTTAGCTTTTTGAATTCTTCATATACCCTAGAGATTAGTGCTCTATCTGATGTGTGAGGGGTAAAGATTTGCTCCCAGGATGTAGGCTCTTTGTTCACCTCACAGATTGTGTCTTTTGCTGAGAAAAAACTTTTTAGTTTGATTTTATCCCATTTATTGATTTTTTTGTTTTAATATTTGCACTATAGGAGACTTACTAGGGAAGTTGGGGCCTAATCCCACATAATGAAGATTAGGGCTTCCTTTTTCTTCTGTTAGATGCAGCGTCTCTGGTTTAATTCCTAGGTCCTTGATTCATTTTGAGTTAAGTTTTGGCATGGTGAGAGATAGGGGTTTAATTTCATTTTGTTGCATATGGATTTCCAGTTTTCCCAGCACCATTTGTTGAAGAGTCTATCTTTTCTACAGTGCATGTTTTTGGCACATTTGTCTAATGTAAGATAATTGTAATTTTGTGTTTGCCTACTGATAATGATTTGATCATCTTTTCATATCTTTTTTGCCATTTGTGTATCTTCTTTGGAGAAATGTCTATTCAGATCCTTTGCCCATTTTGAAACTGTATTAATTGTCCATTTATTATTGAATTGCTAAATTCTTTATATATTCAGAAATAGTTGCATCCATTAAGCATGTATCCCTAGGTATGCTTAATACAATCATATTGAATAAAATTTGAGTGATCATATTATATTTCCATTATACTGTTGTTATGTTAGAATATAGTCAGCTACATACCAGTTTTAATTTTCTCCTTTAATTTTAAGCTGTATTTAAATAAATTGATGTTTCATTGTTTCACCGTTAAATTAATCATCAAAATGGATGAGGTGTTTAAAATCTATTATTTAATGAATGAACAATTTTTTATAATATGGAACATAGTTTAAAATATGTTAAACTTGATTTTTTAAAAAAATTTTATAGATGGAAAAAGTAGAAGCAGATCTCACTAGATCCAAGACTCTACGTGAGAAACAGTCTACGGAGTTTTTATGGCAACTGGAGGATGTCAAACAAAGATACGAACAGCAGGTTGGTTGTTCATTTTGTGATACCATTTAACTTTGTAAAAATTATTTTTAGTAATAGATGGACACAATGCCTTTATTTTATTTATTTTCATGTGGTGCTGAGGATTGAAACCAGTGCCTCATACATGCCAGACAAGTGCTCTAGCACTGAGCCACAACCCCAGCCCACCATTTAATTTTTAAAAAAATTTTAAATTTCTTTTAATTAGTTATACATGGCAGTAGAATGCATTTATGTACTTTGATATATCATACGTAGAGGGGATATAATTTTTCATTTTTCTGAGTGTGCATGTTGTAGAATCACATTGGTCATGTAGTCACATATATACATAAAGTAATAATGTCTGTTTCATTCTACTATATTTCCTATACCCACCTCCCCTCCCTTTACTTTCCTCTACCTGATCTAAGGTAACACCATTCTTATCTAATGCCCCCCACCTTATTATGAATTAGCATCTGCATATCAGAGAAAACATTCAGCCTTTGGTTTTGGGATTGACTTACTTCACTTAGCATGATATTCTCCAACTCCATCCATTTACTGGCAAATGCCACAATTTCATTCTTGTTTAAAGCTGAGTAATATTACATTGAATATATATACCACATTTTCTTTATCTATTCATCTATTGAAGGACACCTAGTTGATTCCATAGTTTAGCTATTGTGAATTTAGCTGCTATAACTATTGAAGTGGCTGCATTACTGCAGTATGCTGATTTTAAGTCTTTTGTGTAAAAAATGAGGAGTGGGATAGCTGGGTCAAATGGTTGTTCCATTCCAAGTTTTCTGAGGAAGCTCCATACTGCTATCCATAGTGGTTGTACCAATTTGCAGTCCCACTAGCAAGGTATTAGTGTACCTTTTCCCCCACATCCTTGCCAACATTTAATGTTGCCTGTATTCTTGATGATGCCATTCTCATAGCAGTGATATGAAATCTTAGTGTAATTTTGATTTGCATTTCTCTAATTGCTAGAGATGTTGAACACTTCTTCATATATTTGGTGATAAATTGTATTTCTTCTTCTGTGGAGTATCTATTCAGTTTCTTAGCCCACCTATTGATTGGGTTATTTATGGTTTTTGGTGTTAAGTTTTCTGAGTTCTTTATATATTCTAGAAATTCATGCTTTATCGGAGGTATATGTGGTAAAGATTTTCTCCCAAACTGTAGGCTGTCTCCTTACATTATTGATTGTTTTCTTTTGCTGAGAAGAAGCTTTTTAATTTTAATCCATCTCATTTATTGATTCTTGATTTTACTTCTTGCGTTTTTAGGAGTCTTGTTAAGGAAGTCAGATACTAGGCTGAGACAGTGAAGATTTGGACCTACTTTTTCTTCTGTTAGGTGAAGGGTCTCTGTTCTAGTGGCTAAGTATATGATCCATTTTGAGTTGATTTTTGTGCAGAGTGGTAGATAGAGGTTCAATTTTATTTTGCTACATGTGAATTTCCAGTTTCCCCAGCATCATTTGTTGAATAGGCTTTTTTCTCCAGTGAATGTTTTGGGCACCTTTGTTTAGTATAACATAACTGTATTTATGTGGGTTTGTTTCTGTGTTCTCTATTCTGTACCATTGGTCTACAAGTCTATTTTGGTGCCAATACCATGCTATTTTTGTTACTATAGCTCTGTAGTATAGTTTAAGGTCTGGTATTGTGATGCCTCCTGCTTCACTTTTCTTGCTAAGGATTGCTTTGGCTATTCTAGGTCTCTTATTTTTACACATAAATTTTATGATTGCTTTTTTTATTTCTATGAAGAATGTCATTGGGATTTTAATAGGAATTGCATTAAATATATATAACACTTTTGGTAATGTTAATTACCAAAAGTGTTTTGACAATATTAATTCTGCATATCTAGGAGCATGGGAGAGCTTTCCATCGTCTGAGGTTTTCTTGAATTTCTTCCTTTAGTGTTCTGTAGTTTTCATTGTAGAGGTCTTTCACCTCTTTTGTTAGATTGACTCCCAAGTATTTAATTTTTTTGAGGCTCTCGCGAATGGGTAGTTTTCTTAATTTCTCTTTCAGTGGATTTATTGCTGATGTATAGGAATGCATTTGATTTATGGGTGTTGATTTTATATCCTGCTACTTTGCTGAATTCATTTATTAGTTCTGGGAGTTTTCTGGTGGAATTTTTTGGATCTTCTAGATATAGAGTCATGTCACCAGCAAATAGTGATAGTTTGAGTTCTTCTTCACCTATTTGTATCCCCTTAATTTCTTTCTTCTAATTGCTCTGGCTAGAGTTTGAAGAATGATGTTAAATACAAGTGGTAAAATAAGACATCCTTGTCTTGTTCCAGTTTTTAGATGAATGCTTTCAATTTTCCTTCATTTAGAATGATGCTGGCCTTGAGTTTAGCATATAAAGCTTTTACAATGTTGAGGTATATTCCTACTATCCCTATTTTTTCTAGTGTTTTGAACACCAAGGTGTGCTGTATTTTGTCAAATGCTTTTCTGCACCTGTTCAGATGATCATATGATTCTTATTTTAAGTCTGTTAATATGATGAATTATGTTTATTGATTTCTGTATGTTGAACCAACCCTGCATCCCTGGGATAAAACCCACTTGATCGTGGTGCACTATCTTTTAAATATGTTTTAATATGCAATTTGCCAGAATTTTATTGAGAATTTTTGCATGTATGTTCATCAAGGATATTGGTCTGAAGTTTCTTTCCTTGATGTGTCTTGGTCTTGTTTTGGTATCAGGGTGATATTAACCTCAAAGAATCAGTTTGGAAGGGTTCTTTCCTTTTCTATTTCATGGACTACTTTGAGGTATATTGATGTTAATTCTTCTTTGAAAGTCTTGTAGAACTCAGCTGAGAATCCATCTGGTTCTGGGCTTTTCTTTGTTGGTAGGCTTTTGATGGTGTTTTCTATTTTATTACTTAAAATTGATCTATTTAAATTGTGTATGACCTCCTCATTCAGTTTGGGTAGGTCATATGTCTCTAGAAATTTGTCAGTGTCTTTGATATTTTCTATTTTATTGGAGTTTAAATTTTCAAAATAGTTTCTAATTATCTTCTGTATTTCAGACATGTCTGTTGTGATATTTCCTTTTTCATCTTGTATTTTAGTCATTTGAATTTCCTCTCCTTTTCCCTTCATTAGCATGGACAAGGGTTTAATCTATTATATTTATTTTTTTAGTGAACCAACTTTTTGTTTTGTCAATTTTTTTCAGTTGTTTCTTTTGTTTTGATTTCATTGATTTTAGCTCTGATTTTAATTATTTTCTGTCTTCTACTGCTTCTGGTGTTGATATGTTCTTCTTTTTCTAGGGCTTGCAGATGCCTGGTTAGATGTAAAACTAATAAATGAATTCAGCAAAGTAGCAGGATATAAAATCAACACCCATAAATCAAATTTTCTGCTATTATAACTTTGAAAAGATTGTGAATTCCTTTGGTTTGTATCTCTGCTCCTTCATCTTTTTATTCTTTTAATGAATGTGCTCAGTGCAATAAGCTTTACTCTTAGTACTGCCTTCATAGTGTCCAGAGATTTTGATATATTAGTGTTTTCATTTACATCTAAGAATTTTTTATTTCATCTTGATATCTTCTGTTATCCATTCATCAATCAATAATGCATTATTAAGTCTCCATTTATTACAGTAGCTCCTATTTAGTATTTTATCATTGATTTCTAATTTCATTCCATTGTGATCTGATAGAATGCAGGGTATTATCTTTGTTTTTTTATATTTACTAATAGTTGCTTTGTGGCATAAGATATGGTCTGTTTTAGAGAAGGAGCCATGTGATGCTGAGAAGAAAGTTATATTCACTTGTTGATGGATGAAATGTTTTATATATGTCTGTTAAGTCTAAATTATTGATTGTATTATTTAGTTCTATAGTTTCTTTATTTAGTTTTTGTCTGGGTTCTCCCCAGTATTGAGAGAGGTGTGTTAAAGTCACCTAGTATTATTGTGTTTGGTCTGTTTGACTAGTGAAATTGAGAAGGGTTTGTTTGATGTACATAGATGCTCCATTGTTTGGGGCATAAATACTTATAATTGTTATGTCCTGCTGATATATACTTCCCTTAAGAAGTTTGGATGTCCTTCTTAGTCTCTTCTGATTAACTTTGGTTTGAAGTCTACTTTATCTGAGATGAGGATGGAAACCCCTGCTTGTTTATGCAGTCCATATGAGTGATAAGTTTTTTCCCATCCTTTCACCTTCAGCCTTTGGATGTCTTTGCCCATGAGGTCAGTCTCTTCAAGATAGCATATTGTTGGTCTTCCTTTTTAATACAATCTGTCAGACTATGTCTTTTGATTGATGAGTTCAGGCTGTTCACTTCAAAGTTATTATTGATATGATTTGTATTGCCTGTCATTTTGATTTATTTCTGGGTTTTAATTTAACTTAATTTCTCCTTTGGTTGAATATTCCTTTAATGCAGATCCTTACTTTGCTGGGTTTTACTTTGTTGAGAATGTTCTGTAGTGTCGGCTTTCTAGTTGTAAATTTTGTTTATCATGGAAACTTTTAATTTCCTATTCAAATCTGAAACTTAATTTTGCTGAATATAAAATTATTGGTTGGCATCTGTTTTCTTTCAGAGCTTGAAATATATTATTCAAGGCCCTCCTAGATTTAAGTGCATGGGTTGAGATCTGAATTGGTTTCCTCCTATATGTAATTTGATGTTTTTCCTCTCATGGCCTTTAAGATTTTTTCTTTACTCTCTGTGTTAGTCATTCTCATTATAATGTGTCTTGGTGTGGGTCTGCTGTAATTTTGTGCATTTGGTTTCCTGTAAGCCTCTTGTATTTGATTTTCCTCTCCATTCTTCAAGTTTGGGAAATTTTCTGCTGTTATAACTTTGAAAAAATTGTGAATTCTTTTGGTTTGTTTCTCTGCTCATTCATCTATTCCAATAACTCTTAAATTTGGTCTTTTCATGTTATCCTAAAATTCTTGGATATTCTGTTCATGGTTTCTTATCATCTTCTCTG